TAATATACCCAAATAATAACAGTAAAATCGACTATAAAATAATAAAATTGACTAGATATAATATTTCTAAAATAATATGTCTAATTAAAGTAAAATAATATTATTGATATAAATCATGTATGCAAATTATAAATTAATTGAAAATTAAAAGTAAATAGTAATCAATTATTATAGTATATTTACTTAATAAATATTTATATCCGTGCATGAGCACGGGAAAATCACCTAGTTACTAGTATCACATGATCTTAACATAATTTTTAGAAACATATATTGAATAACACTATTTGATTTGTATTTCCAATTCCATTAAATTCATAAACAAAGCCCACAGAATCATTGATAATTCATATCACAATTACATTTAGAACACTGAACACCATTATATTTTGTCAAAGTTTTTGTTTGTCAAAGTCACTGAACACCATTGTAATTCAACTTTCATCAATCAAATAACATTAACAAGACCTCCAAATATGCAACAAAGAGCAATTTTAACTCAACATCAAAATGTTCATTTAAAATTCCACAAATTCTGGATACAGAACTATAATAAAAAAAAACTTTGATGCATACATAAATTAATAAACTTTAGTAGAGATCAAAGAAACATGATGTTGGAGCTACACACAACAATGAAAGCTTTTTAACTTCAGCGTTTTCGATCTGCCTTCCATATGTATACTGGTTTGCCATTTGGGTTGAGTATCTCATCTTCACGTAGCTTACGTTTGCGACCCTTTTTCTATATGAATTAAAACAAACCTCATCAGAAATGTTTAAAAAAATTCCAAGAAAACAGTCATATGCCTTTGAAACTGAATGATATAAGTTTTACCTGTAACTCCTTCTGCATTGACATATCCATATATAATTTCTCCAAATCTTTTGCCCTGCTCTTCCTTGCCTCAAGATCTCTGTATGATCTATCCATTATCCTGGTTTATAAAAGATAGAATATGATATGAGTATTGCCTGTCCGTTTGATACCTTCATAAAAAATCTAATGCATATTTCCAGAGACAATACTTTTTAATATCTTTAGGAATCTGCATCTCGGAGACATCAGTTTTGCTTTTTGCTTGTAACACAAGTTCCCTAGCTTCCTCTCTGATTAAGAAAAAAACAAAGTTACAACCTCATAAGACAACAACATACATACAATGTGGTACTAACTTCTTCTCACAACAAACTACTAAGCATAACAGAATCCTCCAGGAGAGGATCTGACTTCTAAGCTACACCAAAGTAAAGAAAGAACTAAAGTGTTATGAGTAGTAACCTGTCTTCTGCAAAGTAGACATGTCTACGGCTAGGCTGCTCCTCCGCAAATTGCAGTGACGCAGTAAGCTTATCAATTTTCTACAAAACATTAAAAAAAAGGATAAATATGATTGCAAAAAACAGAAAGCTATTACATACTGTTAGATGAGAGAAAGATAAAACATACATTCTTCTCACTCTGCCATTTCTGGAACACATATCCAATATCTTGAGTCTTCATGATCATAAGCTCTTCTGCACTGTACTTGTTTACCTCTTCCCTGAAACCAATCCAAAATTTTACAAACCCTGAGCTTATCAATGCAAAAAAAAAAACAAAAGATATGATTATTACTTTGGTCTATGAACTCCATCAACTGTTTTACTATTAATCATCTTGTAATAGAATTCATCTGGATTCTTGAATGCTGCCTTCTGCTTAAGTTTCTGCAGAATAATAACAAAAAAAGCGTAAAGGTTATACCTTTTTAATCTAATTCAAACACTACATTAACATATACTGTTAAAGGCCTAAGCTTTCAATAAACATAACTATCATAAGCAAGGAAGCAATTTTAAAAACAGATAAAGGTTAAACCTTTTTAATCTAATTCAAACACTCCGCTAACATATACTCTTAAAGGCCTAAGCTTTCAATAAACATATAAGCAAGGAAGCAAATTTGAAAACAGAGAGAGTAAAGGTTAAACCTTTTTGATATCTTCTTTCTGGTGGTAAGCTTTAGCTCTGATGACATAGTCCTTATGCTTCTCGAGGAGACCAAACTTCTTCCTCGCTTGCCTGATTGGGTTTGATACATTAATGAAACAAAGTAAACAGAGTAAAGAGTACGCGTCAATGGAAACAGAGTAAACAGAGCACAAAACAGAGTAAAGCTTACGGTTGAGATCGCTCCTTGTGAGCAGGGCGTGGAACAGCATTACGTAGCGAAGACATGTTTTAGATGTGTGAGGAAGAGCACGACGATTTTTCCGATGACTTACGAACTCGAGAGAGAGTAGAGAAGACGGCGACGAGAAGAAGTGTTTAGGTTTTTCTTTTTTTGGGGGTTAAAGAAAGATCGAAACTTCTGAATGAAACTAAAGGTTTGGTTTTATTAATCGCATTGCGCATAATTACGTGTTTGCCCTTTATTGTTGGATTACGGCCTTTTGTTTAGTAATGGGTTTTTTCTTATTGGGCTAGGGTCCATTATACATATGAGTTAATTGGGCTTGCTCAAAACACTACTAAGAAGGCAAGCCATGATGATTTAATTGAATCTAAGTGTATATGTTTTTCTAAGGTGGTTAATTGGCCAATTTATTACAATCATTTGAACTGAAATGGATAGAAAATAAAAGTTTCTAAACTAGTAGCAGCTAGATCGGAGATGAATATCTTGTGGATAGAGTTGAAGGATATATATATGGGCCAAAGCTTGAGAATTGAGAACTCAGAATTGTTTGTATTTGCATAATATGTTTGGGTTAGAGGACTATTTTAATAATTCCATGTCTTAATTAAACGTTTTCTTTTTTTCCTACTTTTTTATTTTTTATTATTTTAATTTTGAAAGATTTGTTAAAATACCATCAATAATGAAGTTTAAATTTTTAAAAGAAAATAAAAATACAGTTGAACTAAAATAAACAAAAGTAAATAATATGGATAAAATTAACTTACATATGGTTTCTAGTTTAGTTTGATTGAAACTGAAACGGTTGTGGTGTAGTTTTGATTCAGTTTGGTAGGTATAGAATTCATAGAACCAATCAGCTAAATATGATTTCTGTTTGATTGGAGCTGTCTGCATAAAGTCTACACTCTATACTCCGTAGCCACATGTTTGGATCTGCCATTGCCTTTGAACGCTCGCTCATTTATTAATTTCTGTTTTGAATTAGCATCATCAAGATATATATATCCTCGTCGTACCTCTCTCTTTCTCTGTCGGTTGAGATCTTTTTGACATATTAACAAAAGAAAATCATATCTTCCAGTGTTCTGCAAGAGATTTAGGTCTGTCTTCTTCTTTTGTGGACCCAGATATGTCCAAATACAGACCAAATGTTATGTTACGTCACGTACATGTCTCGATATTCGTATTGGCTATTACATTTTACTAAAAACAATTTTACATACATGCAAAAACAATAATACGTTGGCTCTCAATCACATCGCTATAGTTTTGTGTCTTAACTAATTATGTACTAACCATTTTCACAAAAGAAAAATATTAAATTATAATGGGTTACACTATTTCAGTTTTCTAACAAACAAGTCCATGTTTCATGAAACTAAAGTCTTTCTTCTTAATCATTCGACAATGATATAATTAGTACATCCATTCTCTTTCGAGAGACATATAAAAACAAACGAGACAAGAAAGAAGACCAACTCTTGAAAAGACATTCCAAGATCGTTTTTACCATATTATAACATATAAAAACGAAATCACCAAAGCCCATTAACGTTAAAACTAAAACTAATTCTTCTGATGAAAACAAAAAAACAAATAAATAAAAACACATTTTATTCAACGAGAACCAGCAGCAGGACGTTGCCGGAGAGGTATAGCAGCCCACGGGCTCATTGGTCCCATTGGAGACGATGAAGTCATCACAGGAGCAGCAGCCACAGACGATGATGACGATGAAGTAACAGCGACTCGCTCACATGATGGACACATGGTGAGTGTAGTTGGAGGCTTCATGTGCATGTACAAATGTGGTGACAGCTTTAAAGCCCTAAGCTCGCTCACTTCCTTCTGCAGTCTTCGATTCTCTTCGGTTAGATTCTCGCAACATCTTTTTAGATATTCACAATCCACTTCCGTTTGCTTCAGCTTCGTCCTACACACGCAAAATTATGAGACCTCCAACCGTAAATACCCAATGTTAAGAACTAAGCCATAAACCAAACCGAACCAGAACCGTAAATAACCGGTGTCCCACTGATTATTACCTTTTCACTATATAACTAGTTTTAATCTATAAATTCAACCAATTAAAAATATATTTAATTGGTGAAACAATTATTAATAAGTACAAAAGCTGGAATTGAAATGTTAAAAAAAACTTACATTTTGAAACTAATTTTATTCTCTAAAACTACTTATATTATGAAAGATAGGGAGTATTATTCTTAAACCGGAAAACTAACCAACTCGAATTAAACCAGAGACCCATTAAGATCCTTTAGGAAAAATATTCATGGGTCACAGAAGTACAATGATATGCATCCCCATCATAGCAATAACTAAATATTGTTTTTTTTTTCTGGAATACTGAAATTACAAAAATAGCATTGGAAGAAATGAAAAAGTTTTTACCTTGCTCTTCGGTTTTGGAACCACACTTCCACTTGCCTAGTCCTTAGATTCAATTGCTTAGCTAGAGCCATCTTTTGCTTCTGCCACCACAACACAAGTCACATAAGTCAATAAGGGTAACAAAAAGTCAACCTCCTAATAAATACATTTTTTTTAAAAAACCACTAATAAATTACGGAAATGCCACTGACCGGATTAAGAGTGCTATGTTCTTTGAAAGTCTCCTCTAAGACCAAAGCTTGTTCTTTAGACAACCGCAGTTTCTTCCTCGACCCGTCGTCTCCGTTCCCGCCACCGTCATCGTCGTCACTACCACCACCGAGAGAGCTAGAACCTCTCTCCACCTCGTTGTCCTCTATTATTCTTCCACCTCCAGCTCCACCCGCAGCAGCCACCAGCTCTCGTTCGTTTCTCTTCCCGCTCATAACGCTTGAGACGGTGCTATTGGGAGATGAAACTCCGGCGTCTTCCTCCACGTCAACAACCACCCTCGATGGACCTCTATTCACATCTATTCCCCGGAGAAACGATCCCACGTCGGAGTTCCTCTCTATAGATTTATAACCGTTACGTTAGTTTCATTTCAGACACTTTATATTATCGAAAATAACATTTTCAAGAAAAAAAGTAGGAACAAGAACGGATCTATATAAATATAGATATTTAATTTAGCTAGTATAGAACAAATTATTCATTAATCAAGAAAATCAAGAACTCGTTATAAAAACGTGTTTTATTTAGCTAGTTGAAGAGATTATTAATAAATAAAGAAAACCAAGAACTCATTATAAAAAAAAAAAGAAGTAAATACCTGAAGATTGAAACATTTGCATCCAACTGTTCTGAATCTTTTGAGGATGATTATAATTGCTCTGCATATGCATGTGAGATGAAGATGAATAAGAAGCCATATGCATTGGATTCAACCTAGGAGAAGACTCCTTTTGATTTAAACCTAAACTCAAGCTCAAGCTTAGCCCCAGTCCATCATCCCTCTCACCCATTTCTCAACAACAAACAAAAGCAAACTCTTTTTTCTCTCAAGCTTTTTTCCTGGAAAATGAATAAATGACTCCTCTCTCTCTCTCTCTCTTAAAGATGTTGTGCCACTTCCTCTACACTTGTGCAGCAGTACAGTTTGAAAGATATGGCATGTGTGGTTAAATTTATATACAAAAGAGTTTTTTCAGACAAAGAGATATGGGGTTGTGGGGAGGCTTAGGGTTTCAATGATGACTTGTGTCAGAGAGACCTCTGTTACCTCAATGATGATATATACTGCATAGAAAAACCTGCTTTTAACTTAACCATGGTTAAAAACAAATCCAGGAGTTATTACTTTTCACCTCACATCCTCTATTAACCATGGTTAATATATGAAAAAGGTCCACCTATCTTGTCCTCTTTCTCTCATTTTCCGTTTTGTAACTTGCAACTATTTAATTCTGTAATAACATTTGAACCAATCAGAGCGTTTTCAAAATCTTCTTGAAAGTTCATGTATTACAGTAAAACTCGCCAAATACATTCATCAAAGTTTTACTATATCTGGATATATAAGATATTTTTTAACTTTATAAGAGAATATTAATTGTCCGAGTTTCAAAGTTAAAATGTAGAGAAAGCTCTTTTTCAAAAACCCACAAGCTAATGGCTTTTTGTATATGGCTTTCATTGCGAAAGCGGCTTTCTCGCTCATTGACCGTTGACCAATGAGAAAATAAGAGAGAAGACTTAAAAAAAAAGCTGCGGTTGAAAAAAGTTCAGACTGTAGAATCCACGCGCTGGTGGAAAATAATATCATAATAATTAAAGAATCATCACCATCATCATCATGAAAACATTTATCATCATATCATGCCTTATTGTTATCATCATATCCCTACTCTTCTCTGAATAACGCGGGGCCTACGTATCCCAAAGACAACCTTTTCTGCAGCTTTGCTTTTTATAAATTTTTCTCTTTTTCTTTGGTGCATATAATAGTTTGTACGTTACTTTACTGATATTCTGTAAATTGTTAGAGATTTATTTTGTACTTTAACTGTCATGTTAACATGGAATAGTTTTTTTAGTTTTGATTATAGTTTATTAAAATCACTTATTCAAACTCATTCGTAACACTAACTTTGAAACACAACTTAGATTCTATTATAATACTCTCTCCATTTTTTTTATATGATATTTTTGTTTTATTTTGTATATTTTTGAATTTTCTATATAAAACTACTAAAATTATATTTGTATTCTAAAGTATGAGGAGTTCTCTTTCAATTATATTATATATAGCTTTTTCTCTATGGTATTTCCTTTTAAATTTAGTTATTGTTGTCAAAAAAACTATTAAAACAACTAATTAAAATATTAGTACATAGTTTTGTCATATTTATTCTCAATAGCAATGATTATTTTTTTATTTTAGAGAGTATTCTAATAAAAATAATTATTTCTTAATTTGTATATTTATACTAAAATGTCATACAAAAAAATGTACTAGAATTCTTTACCTGGGTTTGTAATCGAGGATCTTTTTAGTGAAACTTCTTTACTAATCATACAATTTTTAAATAGCATATAATGATGTATTTAACTGATTTTTTTTCTCTTAGCATTATAGTACAATTTCTAACTTCTTACTAATAATAACTTACGATGTTGTAGTGAAGTAAACATTCTTTGTTAAAAGAATATCATTGTTCTTTGAAGATTTGCGTTTGAAAATAGTATTGTGTGTGATTGTATAGGGATGTTAATACAGTAATAAGGAAGCGATGAGGTACACGCGCGAGTGGGGGGCAAGGTGAGAGCGAGAGAAGAGGCGGTGGGCTCAAAATGGGTATGGAATCAGGAGGGGGCAGAGATACGGTGTCGTATCGATAGGTTACAGAGAGTCTATAAAGAACCCTAAACACTGCATGGATTGGAGTTGTCTGTGAATCCAACATGCATTCCCATTCCATGCCTCCTTTCATTTATTGTTCTATTTTCCCAATGTTTTGTTTTAATATGTGTTTTGAATTCATGATAATAGCAAATAATAATTAATTTGTCATTAATTAATCTGTCAGTCAAACATAAATAAAAGAAAACGCACGACATGTGGTGGTGGTGTTGGTATATATTATGGCTGAAGTAAATAAATTAATTAATTGTGTGTTTATTAGTAGCCTCTATTTAATTTTGTTATTGACAATGCCCTCATTACATCTCCCTTCAGTCTCATCGAGACTTTCAGCAGTTTCACAGACAAGTCAGGTCAGCTTTATTAATTTAATCTACAAACGTAACTTAGTTCTAATGACTAATGAAAATACTCCATTAATAGTGTTTTGGCATTTACAAACAGTCTAACATAACCCTTCTTCTCATTGAATACGTCCATTATGACAGTATAACACTTGCTAGATTCTCAGACAAAACATATTTTCTTTTTACAGTCAACGCATGTATTAAAAAATAAATAAACATTTGTTTACAACTTTTTTACATCCTTTGCAACTTTCATTTCCTGGATCAGAACTTTGAAGGTGAAATTGGTATTAAAATTTGTATTTTTAAAAATTAGTTGCAATCCGTAGCTTGAGTGGTGACAAACATCATGTGTGGTGATTAGCTAAAAGCCTAAAACAAAGTGTTTATAATTAATTAACTATGAATATCTTAGTAACTTGTACTACAAAGTAATCAATTGTTTCTTAGTCTTAATAAAGTTATTTGAGGCTTTTTGACAAAAAATGACATATAATACTTTTTTTGCTTAAAACATAGATTACTTACCTCGACAAATATGTAAACTTATTGGAATTTGCCAAATTAGACTAAATTATTTGTCAATATATAAAAAAATAGGAAATCCCCGATGATTTAATCTAAATGTAAGCGGATTTGAATTCAAGTTCCGTAAAATTCATGGAACGCCATGCTACCACCGGACAACAGACAACAGACGTGGTTATATTTGTCAATATAAATCATCAACGTTGTCATTATCATCACACGTTGATCATTTGCTTACTCATGAGTCATGTCTACCCCAATGTTCCTTCGATTATTGAAAAATCTCGATATAGGTGGGTTTTGTACAATGAACGAAGAATAAGAGGAAGGGCACAGTAGTTGTGAACAAAATAATGTGTATAAAATTAAAAACAATGAATAGGTACGTAATCCGTAATTATTTTTGTTGTTTTTTTCTTATGGGGTCAAATTTATGTATGCAAATATGTCTACAATCATGTATCTGAAATTGAACGGTCCAGATCTCGAGAAAATCGTTGTTATTTAAGCATGTGACTTCAATTACGTAATAACCTCTCTTGTTCTTACAGAAGAGAAAATGACCTTTCACTAGAGTCTCCTTTATGATACGCGATTAAATTTTGAAAATTTGAAAGATAACTGTAAAGGGAAAGAGAGACTCTATAGGACCCGAAGTATTTCTGTTAGCGGGTCAGACTTTCCAAATTAATTATTATGTAATAACTCAATTTCTTCAGTTGAATACTGTTTTGGTTCCTTGTAATTTACCCTTGTGATGAACTCAATGATTTATAAATTCAAACTAACTAATGACAGATTAAATGTTGTTTCAGAAACAGTAATAATAGAGACACTCCCAAATATATGCAGTTTACTTGTAATCTTCTATCATCAGAATCTTTAAGTTTCCTTTGATAGCAAATTTTAGGAGAGTAGACCTATACTTTTCTATTTCAAAAGACAAGCACACCTTATTTTAAGTGTAGAAGTACATGCACTCATACACCCTAATGTGTACTGAAATGTGACTATATTAAGAAACGGGAACTTCAACATTTTTGAGAGTCTCTTCCCAAAGGGTCGATAATTTTCATAACACATACTATTCTGAGTAGTGTGTAATCCTCTCTTTTCAACGTAATTAAATTCTCCTACCTTCATTTTTCAGTGTTCTTTGTCTGTTGCCTAGAGGGCTTTCTTATACTATTATAAAGTACAAAATACACGGAGGAATGGTCATGAAATGGTGGAACCACAGAACATGGGTTGTGGCATATTTTATGCTTCTTGCGTAACGTCATAAATTCGTGTCGAATTATCGTAGTTTGCTAATTTAGCAGGTTCAGAATTAGTAGTTTTTAATTAACAGAAGAACAAAAAAAAGAACTGAGACTATGTGTATTCTGGGATGATATACGAGAAAAAGAGAGCTACAACAATGTATGTTCTCTTGTTTTATTTAATGGAATATAAAGGCTTGTTTTGCGGAAATCAAATTCTTATTCACTCTTCTAAATTTACGTCAGATGTTTATCTAGTATTTGGTTATTATAAGGATATACACGTGCGAAAGAGTCGTTGAAATCCTCGACAAATATAAAGTTGTATTTATTTCTTTATTAATTACTTACGTAGTGGAGTGATCATGTTCTGCATAAAAAAAATTAAACGAGCATGGGTATGTGTTCACAGATATTTTCAGACATTAACAGCAAGGCACCGCCTATTAACGAAGCCAGATTTACTACTTCATATAATGACACCCTATGCCATGACCCAAACATAAAGTTATAAAGATAGTTTATTGATCAAAATTTGATTTTTCGACTGGCTGATTAAGTGATGATTTATCCAGAATACCGTAACATTTTGCTAAAGATTTAAATGGTAAACATGAAAATAATAACCGGAATATGCAAATATAATTTGTAGATGAATCCGTTATTTAAAACATGTCAGTGTCGAGGTCTCTAGAGAGTTTTGTTTTTTGTTTTACGTGTAATTATATGTGTCAATAGAAATGCGTCTGTGTATTCAATACAAGGACGATAAATTTTTTTTTTTTTGGAAATACAAAGATGAAGTAGAGCATGAGTTAAGTTTTTCTTTTTTATCAAAAACAAATTTTAGTCGAATATAAGAATCTTCAGATAAAAATGAGAGGTCAGAGACAGGCAAAGATCTAAGAACAATAAGAAGTGGAGGCCATGAGAAAGATGAAACAGAGGTCACGACTTCACGTGCATGAGCATGTGAGAAGCTGTCTACGTGGTGGTATGTGGTCCCCGGTGACCACACTCGTGCGGTGGAGTATTGTTCCTCGACGGCCAGACATCCCACTTCTCAACAATCATTTGTACCTGTTTCCCCACGCGCTCTACCGTCCGCGTTTATCTACCGCTCCGTTGTTATTTTTGAAAATTGTCTACATTGTAAAATTTTATTAAAACAGTATAAACATAAACCTCGAACCCTAATTGTTTTAATTAAACTCTAAACTGCTAACCACTTGGAAATTCTAAATCCAAATAAGAAAAAAAAAATTCTGAACCATTATACTAAACTATAAACCAAAAAGAGGTGTATTTGTTTATACTTGAAAAATCGAAAAATCTCTTGGTATTTTAATTCTAAATTTTAAAGGGGGATTTTAAAACAAAACTTTAATGCCAAAGTTAAACTAAATTATCTCTCTTATTAGAATATATGAAGACAGGGTTTGATGTTTAAAGTCGGATGCTTTTTATGTATTATGATAATCATATCAAGATCTTTCAATTGTCTAATCATATGAGTTAGAAGGTATCGTTAAAAGATCGACCTTGCGAAATGTAATAACTCGGTTTACGAACAACTATTACAGAACCATGCCATCATTCTCATCATATACGCATTCGAAGTACCATATTTATTAGTTTTTGGTAAAATACGAAGTACCATATCTGACCACATATTGTAATTAAAAAAAAATTATTACACTAGTATGATGGTAGTCTAGTAACGACCACTATGCTAATAAACAATACCATCATTTTCATCATTCTCTTTTTCATATGGCAGTTATATATCTATATAAAACCAGTCCGGACTTTGTTAAATCCTGAATCATTAAAAGTATAATATGTATTTTCCAGATGGGCTTCCATGAGAATAAGCAATTTGCTCTCCTTCAGAATTAACTCGTTATTTGTGTATAGAAAATGTACATTATATATGAGTGCTTGGGCATTTCAAAATTTCATACCCAACAATGTAATTTCTCCCCATAACTCAAGAACACCCGTTAATTATACTTGTAGGACGTAAATATTCCAAGTTAATAGTCTCAAAGTTTGAAAAATCTGATGAGTTCAACATCTTGTTTTCTTTCAAAAAGACACCACCATTGGCAGTTGGCACTAGTTTACACTTTATTGGGTTGAAAATAAATTGTTTATAGTACAGAGAGAAACTCAGTGATAATTGTGAAGGTTTAGTAAGAAACAAATAGGATGGGGATCCAATGTCCACCGACCAACAAACCTATCATCATATCTCACCCAATAATGAGGTCGTGAGATTAATATATAGTGCATCCTTTTAGAATAACTACATTATCATGTCATCACTTTAAGTCTATAAGGAGTAGTATTACATAATTCATTTGATGTGAAATATCTAGTCTAAATATGGTCCCCTTTGTGCCCATCCATGTGCTAAGGCTTTTTCATATCTCCCCCCTTTCATTTTCGTAGTTTTCTTTAACTTACTCCATGTAACCAACTTCTAGGAATACAACGATCACATATGTAATTGCACAAGGCCCCACCTTGTTTTTTTGTGAATTTCCTCTAGATATGAGTCCTAAAGTTTTTTTTTTTGCAAGAAATGACTCTAAATTTTTCTTTTGTGCCAAAAAGACCTTAAATTTTTTCATCAGGGCCTAAATATATTTTGAGCTAGAAATTCATCATGTGTTTTTTTTTTTTTGCTAACAATTATCATGTATTTTTATATCGCTTCTCATAATATAGTTCAATTTACACCAAAAATTGTTATAGCTCTATCTTTTTAAAAAATAAATTAAACGTATCACAGATTTATGGAAATTTTTAAACTAATCTCTAAAAGAGAAGTGAATCTCATGGATGAGTCATTTTTTGGGGGGGGGGTTAAATGAGACTAAAATCATATTGATTCATATCTACGTAGCCACCTATGTTTATTATTATGGAGTTGCTTCGAGTTTAGATCCCTCCGTAATTCGTTCACCAATAAACCATATGGTGTGGTTATATAGCTTAATTTTTTATAGTTCAATATTGTAGCTTTTGATTAATTTTTCTGATAGACCATTGTGTGTTAAACATCCAAGTATGATCATAAATGAACGCATGGCCAATAGCATAAAGATCGTCTTCTGGAGGGAAGTCGTTCGCTTATTTATGGATGGAAAACCTTAGCTTTTAAGATTTTGTAGGAGTATTGTTTAATATTTGTTATTGTGAATAATTTTGATTCAATAAATAGTAATTAAATACATGCAGTTGCATGGGACAGGGACGAGTGATAGCCACGTGAGGAAGATGTATAAAAGAGCATGGGTTTAAGCGGAAAAACCGAAACAGATTTATCAAAACTTAAAATTAATTAATAGAATCGTGTAGAAGTATATGTCAGAGTAATCACGTGGGCAGTCACATGACATTACGTCCACGTGGCATACTTATTCAAATGAAAAGGACACGTGGTCCTAACTTTTCAGCCCCTTCGCGCGTGTTGCATTGTCCCTCTCTCACCGAACACCCGATTTCTTTCCTAATCATTTGATGCGATTTGCTTTGTATGGCTAACTTCCATGAAATTACGGTTTAACCCTTGGGCCACCCATCATCCACTCATGAGCTTATCAAAGCCTTCAATCATGGGTTTGTGTGTTGTATTCCACGTGAGTCGCACGTGATGTCTCTGTCCGCTTAAAGATAAAGTTTCCTCATTGAATAATTCAGATGCTTCTTTTTGGGTTTTGATTTGGTTAAAAAGAGATAAAAGAAAAGAGCCTTTGTTTACACTCGTGGCCACTAAGATTTTATCAAATCAGATTTGTTGGATTAAAGTGAAGAGCAAAAGCAGTTTTCTTTGAGCCTTTTATCGGCCCACTTTAAAAACACCAATGGACAATGAGGTCTCGAGGTAAGCAAACCAGATGGATATTAGTAAATATCTGACGTTTACAGAAACAACTAAAACTACTTGCCCTCTGAGGCTGCAGTAATTCATATCTCTTACGTAGACTAAGCTGAATTTGTAGATTGCCAATACATGACCACATATGCAAACTGGATGTAAAAACAAGATCCTGACCCATCTTTACTCCTTGAGGACTTGTCTGAAATTATTTACTGGAGAGTTAGCTACAAGGACGACGTGATAAATGAACATAAAAAAAACAATGGGGAGACATTTTTATTTGGTAAATGCAAGAGACATGCATACCTGTTTCGAATTACCTCCAAGAGACATGCATACATGTTTATTTTTTCTTTCACCAGAAAAAAAACATGTTTTTGTTTATCTCTACCGCCATTTGGGATTTTATTATACTTACTAAATTAACCATTTCTCCTGACTCGCTTCTGATTCTGGATATGTTGGAGCCGGATCGTTATAGAGATACAAGTTTTCCAGTCCAATCATTTTCCTTTGCTTAATGGTACTAACAGCTACAGGCCCTGGACCAAGAGTTACTTACAGCCAAATTCAACTGCATTGACAATACCATTTACGAATGGAAACTATTACTTTTTTTGTTTCTTTGTAAAACAACCAAACTCAAGAACGGAAAACCACTTAGGAGGTCGGGTGCAGGAGAAATAGAACTGCAGCAAGGATGGGTGCGGATTGTAAGGAGATGAGGCGGTCCCTGATAGTGTGGTCCAGAGCTTGACGTAATCCAGCAGCTGGAAACTACCACTCATTTCGTTTCATTTTAATTGTCATTCTACGTTTTTGCGCACAAATTAAGGAAACATTTAATTTTACATATTTTTAAGAAAAAAACACAATTACCTAACCACTTTTCAACCAATAGAAAAATATAATATTATATAAGACTAATAAATTTTATCTAGAAAGTCTAAAACGACACTTATTTTAAAACAAATTTTTTTTTCCAGAATAACAATTAATTCGAAACGGAGGGAGTATTACTTTACTCACACACCTCATAAATATCGAGAATGAATAACACTAATAATACATTCTCATACACTCTCCGCAGAGAGCTATGGATATATATATATTATTAATGGAAACTATCAGTTCACTCAGACCACATAAATGATAGCTAAAGAGTAGTTCTGTGCTTCCGGCCCATGTTTTTTCGGCTTTCTCAGGGCCGGGCCTGCATCTAATCTCAGACACTCTTTTCATAGAGACCAAGACACAGCAGACAACACTGGTCTGTAAGGACCAACCATTTACACAAAATACAAGACAAACACATACGAGACACAAGAATCATCAACATGACCAGAACATCAAAAAACCAATCGATAGCCGAATCATTCCAGACTAATTA